CCCGCCGTGGCCGAGGCCATGTTCCCCGTGTTCCCTTGCACGCTGCTGGCCCCCCCCTTCCCCGTGCTGGGCCTGGACTCCCGGGGGGTGGGCGGCCTCATGAACTCCTTCCCGCCACCTCAGGGTCACGCCCAGAACCCCCTGCAGGTCGGGGCTGAGCTCCAGTCCCGCTTCTTTGCCTCCCAGGGCTGCGCCCAGAGTCCATTCCAGGTGAGTAGGGGCCGGCCGTGGCGGGCCCCGCCGGGAGGGCGCCGACCCGCGGCCGCGGCCCACACGGCGCCTTGTCTTCGCAGGCCGCGCCGGCGCCCCCACCCACGCCCCAGCCCCCGGCGGCCGAGCCCCTCCAGGTGGACTTGCTCCCGGTTCTCGCCGCCGCCCAGGAGTCCGCCGCCGCCGCGGCCGCCGCCGCTGCTGCTGCTGCCGCCGCCGCCGTCGCTGCTGCGCCCCCGGCCCCGGCCGCCGCCTCCACAGTGGACACAGCGGCTCTAAAGCAGCCGCCGGCGCCCCCGCCGCCGCCCCCGCCGGTGTCGGCGCCCGCGGCCGAGGCCGCGCCTCCTGTTTCTGCCGCCACCATCGCCGCAGCCGCGGCCACCGCCGTCGTAGCCCCAACCTCGACGGTCGCCGTGGCCCCGGTCGCCTCTGCCTTGGAGAAGAAGACAAAGAGCAAGGGGCCCTACATCTGCGCGCTGTGCGCCAAGGAGTTCAAGAACGGCTACAATCTCCGGAGGCACGAGGCCATCCACACGGGAGCCAAGGCCGGCCGGGTCCCCTCGGGTGCTATGAAGATGCCCACCATGGTGCCCCTGAGCCTCCTGAGCGTGCCCCAGCTGAGCGGCGCCGGCGGGGGAGGGGGAGAAGCGGGTGCGGGCGGCGGAGCGGCCGCCGTGGCCGCCGGCGGCGTGGTCACCACCACCGCCTCGGGCAAGCGCATCCGGAAGAACCACGCCTGCGAGATGTGCGGCAAGGCCTTCCGCGACGTCTACCACCTGAACCGACACAAGCTGTCGCACTCGGACGAGAAGCCCTACCAGTGCCCGGTGTGCCAGCAGCGCTTCAAGCGCAAGGACCGCATGAGCTACCACGTGCGCTCACATGACGGCGCTGTGCACAAGCCCTACAACTGCTCCCACTGTGGCAAGAGCTTCTCCCGGTGTGCACGGGGCCGCGGCCGCCCACTGGGCGGGTGGGGAGGGCGGGCGGACGGCGCTGGAGGTGGCCTGGCCTCGGCTGGCGGGGCGGGAGGCGGTTTCTGAGGCCGGGGACCGGGAGCCACTCCCCGGGAGGTGGGAGGGAAGCCTCGCCCGGTTACCAGGGAGCAGGGGGTGGTACTTAGCCGAGGAGGTGGGTCCTCCGGGTGTGAGAAGGCTCCGCGTGGGCGGAGGGCCCGCCCGCCCCGCGGCAGGGGGAGGGATTTCCTGCCGCCCGGGGGCTCCGAAGCCTGGGGCTTGGGCGAGGATGAAGGCGTCTCGGGGAAGGCCGGGTGTGCTGAGAAGTAAGATCGGGGAGCGCGTCCCCACCCCAGGGCCCTAACCCCGACCCCAACGTATTCCCAGGCCGGATCACCTCAACAGTCACGTCAGACAAGTGCACTCAACAGAACGGCCCTTCAAGTGCGAGGTAGGAAGCCCACCGCCTCCTCCTGTCCCGGTTTTCATGATTTTGATCCTCCTGGTAGCTGTCTGAGTTCAGCCTCTCAGACCCCCTTTTTCTCTCTCTCCTTTTTGCTTTTTCACTCCCATTTTCCCATCCCTTCTTCAAGACCTTGTCATCTCACTCCCATTTCCTACAGATCAAAGACCCCCGAGGTTCTGATTCCTTTAACCTCTTGCTCCCCTCTCCCCGCTCCCTGAAGCTTTAACTCTCCTGACACCCCCCCACGGCCCTCCCCCCTCCCCAGAAATGTGAGGCAGCTTTTGCTACGAAGGACCGACTGCGGGCGCACACAGTACGACATGAGGAGAAGGTGCCGTGTCACGTGTGTGGCAAGATGCTGAGCTCGGCTTATATTTCGGACCACATGAAGGTGCACAGCCAGGGCCCTCACCATGTCTGTGAGCTCTGCAACAAAGGTACATGCTGAGGGACGCTGGGAGGGCCGGGAACAAAGGGTGGGGACCAAGCCAGAGGCCCTTCCACGTATGAGGCTTCCAGGTGCTGTAGCCCAGGGCTCGTGGCATCTAGAGCCCTTTAGGAAGCAAGTGGAGCAACGACGGGTTGACTGAGCCTCGTTAAGTTCTAAGAGGTCTGGACTGGAGGCTCAGAGCTGCCAGAAAGAATCAGCTTCTGGGGGTGGGTTGCTCTGGGGAAGGGGCTGCTTTGGGGAAGGAGCGGTCCAGAGAGCCAGTTCCCAAGGGTTGGAAGGCAGGGTTTTGAGCGGCCCGGTGCCGTGCACTCCTGCTCTGGAGTCCCACCGCCGGGGCTTAACAGGCCTGCTGGGGCCATGCCCCAGCAGCAGAGGAAGCTGCTTTAAACAGCTTCACCGATTCACCGAGTAATGAGTAACGGGGCTGAGACTGACTGGGGCCCTGGAGGGAGGGGACACAGCCGTCTCTGCTGAGGGTCAACTCTTTCAGGTGGCTAGAAATCAGTGTCCTGTCACCCGGGGAGAGGTTCCCCTAGCCACGGAGAATAGGTTCTGTGGGTACCAAGGCTGAGAAGCTGTGACACCACGCACCCAGGCCCCAAGCTGAGGGAGGGGCTGTGCCCCACCAGCCCCAACAGAGTAGTTGGCCCCAGGTTCCCAAGGATGCGGTGGGAGGAGGACAGGGCTATCTGAGGAGGGCGTCCCCAGCCTTAGGAGAACAGCCCCGTCTCTGGGGTCTCCGCCTGGCTGACCCCCCATCCCCCATCCCAATCCACCCCCCCAATAGGCTTCACCACAGCAGCATACCTGCGCATCCACGCGGTGAAGGACCACGGGCTCCAGGCCCCGCGGGCTGACCGCATCCTGTGCAAGCTGTGCAGCGTGCACTGCAAGACCCCTGCCCAGCTGGCCGGCCACATGCAGACCCATCTGGGGGGGGCCGCCCCCCCTGTCCCGGGAGACGCCCCCCAGCCACAGCCCACCTGCTGAGGGGGACCCCCGCACCCACCAGGCAAGGCGTGGGGCATGGCTGGGGGGGGGTGGGATGGGGTGTGTGGGACGAGGGGGCTCAAACGGCCCAGTAGGGGATCTCAGGCAGGCCAGGGATGCCCACATACCACTGGAGCTAGGGAGACTTCTGGGGACAGGGAGGGCCCTTCAGGAGAACTGGGAAAGCCTCCGGGGACCAGACAGGAAGTGAGCAACGGCTGTGTCCCAGGGGAGGGAGTCTGGGAACCAGTCTGGGGTGAGGGACGAGGCTCTTGCCTATCGGATTGCGCTGTGATCTCCTGGCATTTGTGCCCACACAGGTACCGGTGAGGTCTGTCCTATGGCGGCAGCGGCGGCGGCGGCAGCAGCAGCGGCGGCAGCAGTGGCAGCCCCCCCCACAGCTGTGGGCTCCCTCTCGGGGGCTGAGGGGGTGCCTGTGAGCTCTCAGCCACTTCCCTCCCAGCCCTGGTGAGCTCCAAGTTAGTGGTCGGGAGAGTGGAAAGTGGAGGAAAGTCCCTTGGTACCGTCTCCTCTTCCCCCCTCTCTTCCTGCCAACTCCTCACTACTTCCCCACCAACCAAGGAGCCTCCAGAAGGAAAGGCAGAAGAGGTGTTTCTTAGGGGAATTCGCTAGGTTTTAACGATTTGTTTCTCCTGCTCCTGTCTTCTCCCTGTCAGACCTGACCCCACACACACCTGTCCCCTCGGTTGTGTTGAAGCCCCCTGGACAGTGGGCAGGGGTGGCAGAGGACAGGAGTGGCCACTGCCCTCACCCCTTCTCCTCTCTGTAACCCCCTGCCCTGCCCTTACAGGGATCTGTGAGCCTTCTCCTTGATGGTCCTTGTTCTCCTTCCATCCCCCACCCATGCTGTCTGCTGCCCCTCCCTGGGGAGTTGGTGCTTTTTTTTTTTTTCCCCCCTCTTAATTTTTTTTCCAGGGGGAGGGAGGAGAGGAAGGAGGGGAATCAAAGATTCTGTCCCGGAGAGGGGAAAAGGTGAGATTGGAGAAGGGGCAGAAGCAGGGAAGGCAATGGTAGTACCTTCATGAGGTGGGGTTGTTTGGGGTCAGGCCCTAAATATTGTCCTACTTGAGAATCTGTCAGGGGAAAACAAGTCAAGGGGAGCAAGAGAAGGAGCCACTAGGGCCAGAGGCAGGACAAGAGATGGAATTCTAGGGTGCCAGGGTAAATGGGGGGATCCAGGGACTAGAGGTGCTTCCTGGGGGTGGGGGGAATGCAGTCACAGTATCTCCCCCGTCCCTCTTCCACCCCAGCTCCAGCCCTGGCCTTTTCTTTTCATCCCTCTCCCCCACGACAGAAGCTGTGGCCCTGGCCATGTCATCGTGTTCCTGTGTCCCCTGCATGTTCCCCACCCTTCACCCCCCTCCTTTTGCGCGGACCCCATTACAATAAATTTTAAATAAAAACCTGTCTCTGATTTTGGAGTGGATGGATTGTTCTTGTCCCCACCCCCCAAGGCATTTCTTCTGGGCCTGGTGTCCGCTTTCGGGTCCCAGCCTTGCTCTGGCCTGTGTGGCTCCCCGGCTCTGGCTCCTCCCTCACCAGCGGCTGCAGCCCAGATTCAGGGTGGGGCCGAGGCTCCAGTGGCTGGAGAGCAGGTTCCAGGACTCCCAGGGCTCCCGGGAATACCCTATTCTGGCAGGCCCAGAATAGCCACTGGAGGGTTGAAGAGGCCTGGGTTAAAAACCCCAACAGGAGACAAATGCTGCTCTTCTCCGCTCACACCCATTGCCTGCGGCTCATACCTCTGCCCAGTACCTGCACACCCTTAAGGCCCTGGGGGCTGACAGTGGGCGAGTGAGCTGTAGAAAGGGTGGGGACGTCAGCCCTAGTACCGGGAGCTGAGAGGGTGCCGAGAAAAACTGCGCTTCTCCCCTCGCCTGTTCCCTCCACTCTTGGTGTGGTCCATTGAGCGCTTCCGGGCCCGGGGCCCAGCCCCCTCTTATTCCTGACAGCCCCTGCAGCCTCTGCCCTGGAATTCCCTTTTGAGTCCTGCTCCAGGGACCCGGGAGCCTTCCAGCACCCATTTCTGCTGCTGCTTCCTGGAGGGGAGAGGGGCTTCCTGTACTGCAGGCTCCCTTTTCTTCCAGCCCCACCCTGCTCCTGAGCAGCCTCCCCAAGTTTTGCCTCATTTCCCTTCCCCTCTCTCTGCTTGTAGGGGTCCCGCCCGTCTCACAGGTCCTGTCTCCTCGTAGACCCCTCTCCGTTGCCCCCAGCCCCCTGCCTCTGCCAGGAACCCCGGTGACCGTTGGCGGGAGGGGCCCGGGGCTTGGGAAGGGGGCACCCCTAAGAAGCGCGCGTGGGAAGGGGCAGGGAGGGGGCGCGAGTGGTTACCCGGCCGGTTGCCCGGGTAACGCGGGGCCTGGCACGCGTGGCTCCCTTGGGCTGGCCGGGAGGGGCGGGAGGCGAGCGAGGGGCGGGGGCGGTGCGTGGCGGCAGCAGAGCGTAGGGGAGGGGACCTGAGAGGAGCGAGAGGAGGGGACGAGCAGAGGGGAGGGGAGACCCGCCGCCTCCCTCCTTCGCTCGCTGACTCGCTCCCTCCCGGGCTGCGGCTGCTGCAACGGGGCGGCGGTAGCAGCAGCAGCGGGAGCAGTCTGGAGGCCGGCGTCGAGGTGAGACGGGGATGGACAGAGGCTGCGGGTAGGAGTGCGCGGACAGACGGCGGACGCCGGGAGGGCTGCACCGGAATGCGGGCGCCTGGCGGACTGACTGGTGGTGCTGGGCGCGCCACGCCAATTGGAGGAGGAGGCGCCGGTCCCCCGGGGGCGAGGGAATCCCTGCGAGAGGGGCTGAGAAGGGGCTCAAAGGGACAAGCCCAGGTGCCCCAGGGAGGGGCGGGGGCGCTGCGCCCCAGACGCGCAGTGAGAATACTGCACCCGCGGGGCGCCCGGGGAGGAAGGGAGGACGCAGAGGGAGTGGAACGTGAGTATCGGTCCTCTGCCCAGTGTGCCTGTCTGCCTGTCGGAGTGTGCGAGCGTCTGCACAGCTTGTTGATTTCGGGGTGCTGGGGCATCTGCTGGGATCTCAGAGTCTGGATCTTGTCGGGCGGGCCCAGGGAGAGAGCTTGGGAGGGTCCTGTTTACAAAAGGGTTAATCTTCCCAGGGCTCTCCGAGCTGAAGACTTTGAGCAGGGCACTCCTCCCCAGGGATGTCCCACCCCAAGGCAAAGGAAACCCCAACTTTTCTTCCTCTCCCCAGAGGCAGCCCAACGCTGGCCCTAAGACAGGAGCATATCCCTCTCCAGCTGCAGTGATGAGAGCCACCGCTTTCCTCCTCACACCAAACCTGTCTCCTCCTTTTTCAGGATTGCTGCTGTCTCTGCTGCTCCAGCCTCTCCATCGAGGTCCTCTCCCCTCTCCCCTCTCAAGATGGCAGCCAGCAGTTCTGAGGGCTCGGAGATGAAGGGTATAGAAGAGGGTCCCCAAACCCAAGGAGAAGGGCCTGGCCATTCTGAAGGCGAAACTGGCCCTCTCCAGGCCCCAGCTGGGGTCCCAGATGAGCCAGAGGCCCTGCAGCCAGGCCCAGACATCACCGGGGCCCCTGTGGACTCAGAAGCCAAAGCTGGGCTGGCTCCAGAAACCACAGAGACCCCAGCTGGGGCCCCAGAAACAGCTCAGGCCAAAGACCTCAGCTCGAGCCCAGGAGGGGAGCCAAATGCCAACCCCAGCCCCGAAGAAGCATGCCAAGAGCCAGCACCCAAACCAGAAGGGAATAAAGAGGTCACTGCAGACCAGGGGTCCGATCTGGGGTCCGGAGCCCCACCTGAGCCAGCCTCGGAGCCTGCTCCCCAGTCGGACCCACAGTCAGACCTTCAGCCAGACTGCCAGCCAGGTTCCCAGCCCACCCCCAAGTCAGCTCTTCAGCCAGAGCCCCCTACCCAGGAGGACCCCACCCCTGAGGTCCTGACTGAGAACGTGGGGGAAAAACAGGAGAATGGGGCAGTGGTTCCCCTGCAGGCTGGTGGTGGGGAAGAGGGCCCAGCCCCGCAGCCTCACTCGCCACCCTCAACCAAAACCCACCCAGCCAACGGGGCTCCTCCCCGAGTGCTACAGCAGCTGGTGGAGGAGGACCGACTAGGAAGGGCTCACAGTGGGCATCCCGGATCTCCCCGAGGTAGCCTGAGCCGCCACCCCAGCTCCCAGCTGGCAGGGTCTGGGGTGGAGGGGGGTGAAGGCACCCAGAAACCTCGGGACTACATCATCCTCGCCATCTTGTCCTGCTTCTGCCCCATGTGGCCTGTCAACATCGTGGCCTTCGCTTATGCTGTTATGGTGAGCCCCATGGGACCCCGGCCCAGGTCTGCTGTGGCTCCCAGTTTCCTGCCACCACTGGGACTGAACCCCAGGAGTAGTAATCTTGCTTTCCCTCTCCTCTCTGCATGGATCTCCCTTCCCAAGTATGGGGTCTTTTCTGGCCTCTCCCTGGGACCTTCCCTTCGGAGCCACCACTGCCCTAGCCCATCAGGTGGGAGGGAGGGCAGGATAGGTTTCACGCAGCCTTGTTAACCTGTGCCCTCCCCCCCTTGCCTCTCCAACCCTCTTTCCCCCCTCGAACCACTGTCCATGGGGCCTGACTGTCTCCTTGGGACAACTCTTTCACCTGAACCCTGCTGGGCTGCCATCTCCTGACCTGGGCCCACGGTGCCGCACCCCTCACCCTCACCCCAGTCCCGGAACAGCCTGCAGCAGGGGGACGTGGATGGGGCCCAGCGTCTGGGCCGCGTGGCCAAGCTCTTAAGCATCGTGGCGCTGGTAGGGGGGGTCCTCATCATCATCGCCTCCTGCGTCATCAACTTAGGCGGTGAGTGGGGGTCTGGGACAGGCCGGGAGGAATGGAAGGGTTGGCAAGGGCAGCTTTACTAACCCCTGCCCCTGCTCTCTCCTGTCTGTCCTCCCTACTTCTCCTTTGTCTCTCCTTGTCTCTCCCCCCACCGTCTCTGTCTGTCCCTCCCTCTCCTCTCCCACAGTGTATAAGTGAGGGGCTCTGCCCGCATTCCAAGACTTTTCTTCCTGTTGGGAGCTGTCTTGGGCCCATCCTCCCCTGGGGGGAGCCCAATGGATGGCCCAGGCCCGCACCCATAGGGACCAAGAGAGCCTGAGCGGCCTTGTTTACAGCTTCTTTCCTGCTCCTGCATCCTGCCAGGCTCCTGTGCCAACCGTAGGCCTCTCTTCTCCCTGCACTGTTTTCCAACCTCCCTGTACTTCTGCCTGCATCCCCTCCAGCCTATTGGCCTCCCTATCCCTGCACTTCTGGAAACCTCCCTGCACTTCTGGAAATCTCCCTGACCTGAACATCTCCCAGACTCTCTGCTCTCAGCCTTCCTGCATCTCTCCCAGCCTCCCTGCACTCCTCCCAACTTCCCCAATTCCCTGCACCCCAGCCCTGGTGTCCCCCTTTCAACTTTCACTGTCTTGGCATCTTCCCCCATTCCTTTCTTCCTTCTCCCCTTTATCATCTTCCCTTCCCCCTCCACACCCTCTGCCCCCTTCCTCTTCCTGCCTTCTCTCCCCTCAGCATCCTTTCCTCCCCTCAGGATCCTCTCCTCCTCCCTCCCGCCACCGTTTTCTCTGCAAAAACTCCAGCACTTATTAGATCAGGCTGGGGAGGGGAGCGATGTCAGGGGAGGGCTCCTCAGCCCGGTTCCAACTATTTTCTGCTGGGACCACCCAGGTCCTGACGCACCCAGGGCGCCTCTGGGTCGCAGAGCTGGCAAGCCAGGCCTTGTCTGGGGACTTGTGCGGGGTGTCGCGCACGGTGGCTAGCTCTGTTGTGAGCATGCACCGGGGAGGAGGAAGGGGCGCGGCTGTTGACCCTTTCTGATTAGCCCGAGCCGACCTGCCCCACTTGGGCTTTTAAACCCGCTCAGCGAGTTTCATAAAGGCGTCGGGGCTGGGATCATTCATGTGCTTTGTAACGAAAGAACCCCGAGATAGGACCAAAGCTCCCGAATGCAGGGAGCGAGTGAGGGGCGGGGAACTCTATTTTCCAAGAGGACGAGGGAGGTTTGTTGCACGCGACAGTCCGCTAGGGAGGCGGGGACTGAGCTACGACGCGGCTCGGAGTTGGCGGGTTTTGTTTTCTTAAAAAAAAAAAAAAAAAAAAAAAAAAAAAAAAAAAAAAAA